ACTTCGTCCCCTCAGACCAGGGACACGTGAACGGTCGTTCACTTAAAGTTTGTATACTCTTGGAAGCCTACTTCCTCAGCGCAAGGTGCTGTGTGACCCCGTCACACGTTGTCTGTATTACTGCCGCTTTGGCAAGGCTGCAGCTTGCGGGGCTCTTTGACGTGCTTTGTTTCTAGGCGTCATGCGCTCGCCAGCAGTCAAACCAGTAAGTCAACCACACAAGGGTGTCAAAATCAATACTCTTTTTTAGGTCAGCTTAAGTGAGTACCCACAGATTACGGTGTACCGTTATCTGTTTGGTAAATCTGACTGGCTGGGATGGCAAGGTTTATTTGGGTTATTCGGAACCAACTCAAAAAAAAGTCAAATTTGGGGTCGTAATAATATAGGGGCTTGGGTATTTACACATAGTTCCAAAATCTCGTCGTCACGCATGCTGATTGGCTGGGATGCCATTCAGACGAAAAAAAACCATTAAAATTTTAATGGGTTTTTTTCGTCTGAATGCCATCCAACGGCAAAGCGACATTTTCATCGAAAGTTCTACAACTTTGAGTGATAAAATATTGCTGAATTTCCTTTAAAAACATGAAGCTTGGCGGGTTCGCACTCAAGAAGGGTAAGAAGAAGAAGGCGCTGGGGGCATCCGCAGGATTCTCAGCTTCCGCTCCCATCGCTCCTACTGCACTCGAGAAGGTATATGTCACCGACTTCGACCCACATGCGCCGGTGCCGCTCACAGAGGATGGCAAGAAGCCTTTGGTCATTCCCTTATTGGAGACCAACGCCTGGAACGGGGCCGCAAAGGAGCCGAATGACGACAAAATAGGCGCATCCATCGATAAAATGGAGGGTACAGAGGACGAACAAGCGGCGGCACAGATCCTCGCCGAGACGCAGGCAGCTAAAACGACCCACAGCAGCGATAAAGACCTGGTGATCCCTGTCGAGAAGCAGAATAAGCGCGCCGAGCTGTTCCAGGACGGCGACAAGAGACCCAAAAATGGTCAGAAGATGCCCATTTTACAGCAAAATGTGGTCCCGGGTCTTGATGGGCTGCAGGACGTCGCGGACAAGTATCGTCACGACGTGGCGCTGCGTCCTGAGGCCCCAGACGTGCATAGTGACGTGTACGAGTCTGTTCCTGTTGAGGCATTCGGGGCGGCGCTGCTGAGAGGGATGGGCTGGACAGGAGACGTGGATCCAGACGACATGGGCGTCGCCCCACAGCCGAGACACAAACTGTTGGGTCTGGGAGCAACCAAGAGACCGTCACTTCCCGGGGAGGACAAGAAGAAGAGGAAGAAAAGAAAAAAAGAACCCAAGGACGAGGACAGACGCTCCGGACTCAATTCAGACAAACCTCGTAGAGAAGACAGGGAGAGGAGATCCAGCAGGTCAGCAGATAGAGACCGTCGACGTCGCAGTCGCAGTCGCAGCCAGGACCGCCGGAAACGGAGTCGGAGTCGAAGCCATGACCGTGACCGGCGTCGAGACAGAGACCGGGATCGAGAGGACCGTCGGGATAGAAGTCGAGACCATGACCGCGATAGACGCAGTCGCAGGCGCTAATTGAGGCGACACAGACGTCAGGATATGGTAGATAGTGCAGCAAATACCAGGTATGTGGAGCAAGTATACTTGGTTCCTACTGGTTCTTCTTGCTGCCATTGCTATTTGTTTTGCTATCCTCGTTGTCTTCTAACAACGACGTGTCGAGTTGTAGTGGCAACGGTGGAATGGACGTACAGATGCCTCCAAGACTGCTCACAGGAAAATACAACAACAAAATGTAAGCCTATAAATCACTCACACAAGACGAGAGACGATCGACACATACGCTGAGAGCACCGTTTCGCAGTTTTCGCGGAATTTGAGCATCTGCGCGCGGTTCTCGTCGGCTTTGCCGTTCAGTAGATTCGTGCGCATCGTGTTGATGGCCAGTACGTTATCCTGCAGTAGCGCTGCGAGTCGCGCTTCCTCCAGTTCAGCCGTAGCTGACGACTGGTTGGAGTCGTGGTACGGCTCGATCTTCATGCGTTTGGTGGCTGTAGGCTGGCCGCTAGGATATCCCAGCGCCTTGACCTTAAAGGCCACGTCCCGCACGCATTTCCGAGGCAACGTGGCGGCGATCTTAATGTAGCGCGTGACATTATCGAACTGGTCGGCCGGGAACTGCGTGAGACCGGCGTGCAGCGTCTGTAGCTCCTGCGGCGTCCACGCCGTTTGAGCCGTCGAGTAGACTACGGTAGGCGAGATAGACGGCAGGTAGTCGGAGGCTTGCGGAGACGACAGGAAGCCGTGGCCGCTCATAGACGTAGGCGGCTGCTTGGCGCTCGGCTGGCTTGTAGGAGGGAGCGTCGCCATCGCTTACTGCGCGTCCCCTCACGCGACTGTTTAGCGTATCTATTGATCTGTCACTAAAGCTTTAGACGATGTTCTGGCCGTTCCTGGAGCTTCAAGAGCAACTAGTGTACTGCCCGCTGGCCGATTTTGGTGCCAGAGGCGTACGAGAGGGTCAGGATATCTACGCACAGGCTGTCGTAGCACAACCCGTGACGGCTCATATTCCATTGAAGAATGCATTCGAGCTCAGTGGGAAGATCGCAGTGCTTCAACGGGGACTGTGCGACTTCGTCACGAAGGTGCTGCATGCACAGCAAGCAGGCGCAGTGGCTGTGCTAGTAGCCAACAATAGTGACGACGGTGGAGAGGCCTTCGTCATGGATGCAGGTCAACGTCTCGACCAGGTAGCGGAGAGCGTGAGTATCCCAGCCATGATGGTGTCTCGAGCACAGTCGATCGACATCTTCCAGCAGATCCGTGAGGCGTATCTGGATCGTAAGGAACTGTGCTTTACTATCAGATTCCTTGGAGCTGAAACAGCGTCACGGGTACTGGCACAACAGGAGAGTTTGGCTCTGCAGAGTCGGAATGCAGCGCGCAGTATCGAACTCAAACAGCAGAGAGAACAACAGCAACAAGAGGCAGCGAGTCTGCTGCGCAACCGTCTTGGTAAGATATCGCAGTCCAAAGGAAAGGCGCCAGGGTCATCGTCTGAGAGTGTCGTAGCCACACCGAGCACGAGTGCGAGTGAACCGGCACTCGACTGGTCTCCAGCGTCATCGACGAAAAGCAGTTCGGCTGGTTCAACACGTCGCAGTCGTGAGAGTCAAAGAAACAACCAAGAGGAGCTTGGAGTAGTGGAGGATGTTTATCCTGCAGCTACACTGGCCATGCTGCACTGGTGTCCGATGACGACGTCCTTGGTGATCTTGGACGTTCAAAACTACTTTACACTGCGTCACGGGTATAGTAGCAAGGAAGAGGTAGCTACACAGTCATCTAGTCCGGTTACTGATGCGCAGTTTTACGATCGCGTGGACAACGTGCTGATCCCGACGATCCAGGACGTACTACTTGCTAGTCGGGCGACTGAAGGCATGGAAGTTATTTATTCAGTGGTGGAGAGTGCTACATGCGATGGTCGCGAGAGGTCCCGTGCTCACAAACACGCTGGCATTCACGTACCGAAGAATGGGTTTGGTGCTCAAGTTCCCAAAAGAATCGCGCCTGATGATGACAGTGACATTGTGCTCTCGCGCACAGGAGCCAAGTAAGTCTAGTTGGTCTGGCTTATGATCGTTCTTCTGGTACTGACAATTGGTTGACAGTGTGTTCGCAGCAACGAATCTGGACTATATCTTACGGAACTTGATGGTCACTCACATTGTCGTCATGGGCATCTCGGTGCTGGGCAGTGTCGAGTCTTGTGTGCAGACTGCGTTGGACAGGGGCTACCAAGTCACAGTGCTGAAAGAAGCACTTCTTCCACTAACAATGGGCACTACGGAGGGCTCGAAGAAGACTTCGATGCTTGAGAGCTTTTCTAGACGAGGTGCCCAGGTGCTTACAGCGGCCGAATTTGTCGAGAAATTGCAATCCTTTGCCTAAGGTTCAAGAAATAAATCTTAGCCTATGTCATGGTATATTTGGCATGCTTTAAAAACGACTACGTCTGTACTTGGGGCGAGTAACTTCAGCGTGATGGCAAGCAGAATGGCAGAGCTGTCTGAAGTCAAAGCCGTATTAGAGCGCTTAGTGGATGCTGTGATCTCGTCTTTTGCTAACTATGACGTGACTCAAGACGTCGAAGTGCTGCCTATCGGAGGCTACTTGTGGAAGTTCCCATCTGAAGGCAGTAATCGTATTGAAACTAGCAATGTATTTCCTCCTCCTTCGCCTCAGCTTTGTGATTATCCGCGAAAATGCGGGCAATGTGGCGTGTGCTGGGTGTCCGACCGCGAGTTTGAACTCGACCATTTACGACGCTGCTCCGTCGTGACGCAAGTCGACACCCATGAGGATACCAAGCAGAAAGCTGTAAATTTTGGAGTACCGCGACGTGTGTGGTGTGAAGTGGATGAATCGTTTAGTCGACTACAATGGCATCATGATAGAGATCTCCACAGTGGAGACAATGCTTCCAATTCCATCGCATTTGTCGATATTGCTGAGATTTCTGTACTGGATGAACCAGTGAACAGTTTTCAGATTGTTACCAACGACCACCGCAGAATAGTATTTCAATGGAGACCCGTATCTGAGACTGGAAGTGTCCTGGATCATGTAGAGCTAGATGCTCGTCAATGGCAAGAATATCTGGAAGAACTCAGCAGATACGCGCGAGATTTGCCCTTGGAAGAACCAACGACCAGGTCGGTCGCAGAATTATTCAAAGAGATTTCCGACTTGCTACTCAATGAAAGTAATGTCCAGCTTACGGAGAATAGGTTCGGCTCAGTCTTAAAGAAATGTGGCTACGCTTCATCTCTATGTGATGACAATGGCAATTCGTTGGTGCATTTGGCTATCAGCCTCAATCTTGGAGACAAAACAGCGGCTATAGTTTCTGCGCTTCTTAATATGGGCATCGATTGTAACATTCAAAACCACGAGTACGTTTTATTTGAATGCTAGATATTGGGTCATCTCTAATTCCTTTTGATTGTGTAGTGGTGAAAGCCCATTGCTCTTAGTCGCAGCATCAGGGGATGTTACCACAGCAAAAGTCCTGCTTACCTCTCCATCTATTCAAGTTAATCTATCATGTCCTCTCGGGGTCACAGCATTCCACGCTGCAGCGAACGCTGGTGACGTTGAAGTGAGTGCAGTCTTAATTTTTTGAAATCTGTATCGTCCTAATATCTAAATTTGATGATCTAGATGATCCGACTGCTATGTGATGCCGGTGCACAGCCAGAAAAGCGAGATGACAATGGCTGGACGGCGCTCCATTATGCTGCTGCATGCTCCACTGGGCTGGAAGCCATTCATTTTCTGTGTGAAATGCTAAATGAAGATTTTATTGACGCCCAATGCAGCGAAGGAAATACTGCTCTACATGTGGCTGCAGGCTGCGGTTGCCTCGAAAACGTACGCGCTCTACTAGAGACTGCAGCCAGTCCGCATATAAACAATTACAGTGGAGAAAGCGCTTACCACCTTGCACTGCGCAACCATCACATCCAATGTGCGGTAGCTATCAACGATTATCAAAGTATACCCCCAGCTAGTTACACCCTACCACCCTCAAACCCAGCTAAGGAGACTGCGTTATCTAGAGCTACAGCAGTGGAGTCGAATGAGTGGAGAAAGGAATATGAAAGACATGACAAAGGTGGAGAGTGGATTGAAGGATTTACGGAGGATGGATATCCTTACTACTACAACACAATGACGGGCGAATCGTCTTGGCACAAGCCTGGGGAGTACCAGCTGCTAAATGTACTGGATCAAGAATACAATTCAGGAATCCACGACGAAATAGTATCTGAAAATGATGAGGATCCTTCTTACACCTTGGCGGTTGACCACGAGACTGAAAGCATTCTCGGCGATACAGCAGGACAACAGCTTCCATTGTGCTTGATCCCGATGGTTAGTCCATTGACCTCTCTTGACAACCCTACTGCTGCAGCGAGATATGAAACTGCACGTCGAAAAGCCCGCAAACAGCGAAGACGTCGGCAGTTAAAGCTGCATCTCCTTCACGGCCATTAAGATGCCGTGTTATAAAGGGATGACACAAGCCAGTGTGTACTGCAAACACCGTTGATTTGCATGGTTGAAGTCAGGACAGCTTGGATCGTAGACCGTTCTGTCAAGTCCAGCGTAGATGCATTCACACACACTGACGATGTTTCACATTCTCCTCGGTGCTGACCACCAACACCTTTACATAAATCGATACCTTTCCAAAAAAACAAAAAAAAACACTGAACTGAATCATTGGAGAATGATACGAAGGTATCTATCTAACCAGTTGCTGCAGCGGATCACCGGAAGGATAGACCACGTGGGCTGCTGAAAAAGTCGCTGGAATTTGATAATTTCGCTTTCGTGTGTCCCCAAAAGAAATTAGGACCGGATGGATTCACGATAACCATGCGATCTCGTGATCCGAAGTGAAATGATTCTCGTCCACACCCTTTCGCTGTCCGTCTTCTAGCGACTAAAATGATAGCCGCATGGTGAAGAACGAAGGATATTAAAGGTAGTCATCCAAGTCCTCGTCTTAATCTGATCTCATTTTCCAATTCACCGTCTTACGATGAAGTTCCTTGCCTTCTTTTACGCTGTCTTGAGCTACCTCCTCCCTCCCGCTATTGAAGCTCATTCGTGGCTAGTGAAGCCTGTATCCCGTGAGACTGGACCACGTACGACCGATGGCACTATTGGCTGTCCAACACTACCCCCGGTACCCCAACTTCGTTTTCCCCCGGCGAGACGATCGATGTTCGCTACTGGCGCAATAACCATCTCGGTGGATTCATCCGATGGGCCATTTCACCAGTCGGCAGTGAGACTGCCTCAGACTTTGATGACAAAGTTTTCTTCTACACATGCCGAGAATCTGGACCGGATTGTGTCCCTGCTGACGGGTCAACGAGTCGATATGCTGGGGATAGCAGCGGAGATCACACCATTTCTTGCGGTGATACCATTACACTACCAGATTGGCTGGATGGAGGTGACTACGTGTTGCAGTGGGTTTGGTTCGGTGTGGGCTCCAGCTACGGCAACATCGGCTGGGCCGAACCCCAGTTTGTATCGTGCGCAGATATCACGCTGACTTCCGCAGGCTCAGGCAGTGAGACTGGATGCCCTACTTTTGTTGGAGGCGACAGAGTGACCAAAAACGAGAATTTGGACGACGACGAGTGCTTCTACTTCTACACCAACTCGATCGAGTCGACGCAATACAAAGGCAGCAACGACGATTATGAGCAGTACTATATCTTCGGCAAGCCTTCGTACGTTGACAGCTGCAGTGGCCCTACTGCTGATAGTGGGAACTCTACAATGGCCCCTACAACGCAGAATCCAGTCACGACAGCCCCGGCTTCAACGACCGAAAGTCCTTTAAACGCTCCGACTGCTACATCTGCTTCAAGTGAACATCCGGAGGCCACCTCAAATGAAAGCAGTGTTGCGGGCGATTCTAGTAACATTTCCGATGAAAGTATCGACAATGAATCTCCAGATGGAACTGTCGCGCCCGGAGGCTGTAAAAGCAAAAATCATTCCTGGACTCGTGGATAATCTACGGCCAAGAGTTTTGCGTTCGACCCAAGTCTTTTGACTGTTGTAGAGTTTGGTTAGACATCTGTGTACTGTGAGCTCAATACTAAATGTTCAACTTGAGTACTTTATGTAGTCTTGTGTCGAGATGGCGTTGTTGGCCGGATGCTTCATCGAATGGTCCATTCACAGCAGCTGTACAATTGTGACGAGTGTTTCGCAAAAAAAAATAAAAAGAAAAAAGAAAGAAAAAGTTGAAGGACGATATTTTACTGTATATTTTCGCAATTACTACAGTAGCACAACTTAGTACAATTAAAGGCATTGTGCGAGCTCTATTTTAATTGATTTGCAATTATAGCTGCAGTTTTTAGACAAATGCAATTCCACTTTGCAATAATTGAAAAAGAAGCAATTTTTTTTTTTTTTTTTAGGCATTCATACACGTATTAACAACTATGCTGAAGTACAACATCTATTAGGTCTATCTATCCCTTTGCAAACGCCACAACACTAATACTTGGGCCAACCTGCGTCAACCTCCATGTACACGATATCAACGAAGTCACGCTTCGTTAACGGCGGTGCCGCTACCAGCGGAAGCAGAAGCTGAAGTTGACTACAGGGTAAGCACTTCAGAAGCCACGTCGGTCTGGGTCACATCGTCGACGTTGCTAGAAGCCACATCCGTCTGGGTCACGTCGTTGGCATTGCTTGAGCTAGACTCCTGCGAAGTCACACCGCTCTGTTCGGTGTTATTGCCGATCGAAGATCCACAGTCGAGAACCACGTTGTTGTAGGGAAGGTCGGAGGCGCTGCTGGAAGCCACGCTGGTCGGCTGCGAAGCCGAGCCGCTCTGCTCCGGGTTCTTGCCAGAGGAAGAACCGCAGTCGAGAACCACGTTGTTGTAGGGAAGGTCGGAGGCGCTGCTGGAAGCCACGCTGGTCGGCTGCGAAGCCGAGCCGCTCTGCTCCGGGTTCTTGCCAGAGGAAGAGCCGCAGTCGAGAACCACGTTGTTGTAGGGAAGGTCGGAGGCGCTGCTGGAAGCCACGCTGGTCGGCTGCGAAGCCGAGCCGCTCTGCTCCGGGTTCTTGCCAGAGGAAGAACCACAGTCGAGCACCACGTTGTTGTATGGGAGATCAGAGGCACCACTGGATGCGACACTCGACTGCTGTACAGCAGTCTGCGAGACATCGTCCGACGGTGAGTATTGAGAACCAGAGCTGGAGCTCGAGACGGAAGGCGTAGCAGTGGGCTCCTCAGTGGATTCCTGCTGCTGCGTCTGGCTGGCATCACTGCTGATAACCGACTGCTCGAAGCTGCCGCTCTCCACCGGCGCAACCGTACCGGGGGCTTCGGCCTCCGAAGCGTCCGTCGACGAGTTCGAAGAGGCCTGGTACGAAGCCGAAGCCGAACTGGTCATCGATGACGAAGTAGTTTGAGTAGGGTTCTGCGACGACGACGACGCAGTCGAAGCCGAAGAGGCCACCGGCGACTCGGTCGACTCGGTCGACTCCGAAGATGCCGTCTGGGTCACGTCGCCCGATGAAGCGGTGGAAGTCGATGCATCCGTCTGGGTCACGTCGCCCGACGAGGCGGTGGAGGCCGATGCATCCGTCTGAGTCACGTCGCCCGACGAAGAAGAAGTGGAGGACGGCGAAGTTTGCTTCGCATTAGAAATGTCCTCGTTGATGTGCACGTCACTCTCCGAGTACTGACACAGAGGCGGTGACGGGCCATTGCCCAGCATCTTCGGCTCGCCGTTGGCGTTGCCCTGAGACCACTGACACACCTTCACGCTCGCCTTGCTCGATTTAATCCAAATGTTCTTCAGCGTGGCCTGGTCGCCCCAGTTCTTGTTCACCGTCACGATGGAGTTGGTCGGGTTCACAATGTACGAGTTGGTCACCGACACCTTCTTAGGTCTGTCACCACACGTGCCGCACGAACGGTAGAGCTTACTGATGTCCTCACCGTAGAAGCTGTCGATCTTGACAGTGCCGTATCCGTTGTGTTGGATGACCTTGTCGTCGGCGTAGCGGGCACCGCAGTTAGTCACGGTGGACACGCTGGAAGCGGTGCCACCCTTGATACTGAGGGCGTCCTCGCACACGTCGTCCCACCAGACATTCTCAATGGTGCAGTCGTGCTTGTCGCAGTGGACGCCCTCCATTTGGTTCTTGCCGATGATGGCGTTCTTGAGTGTGGCACCGGGCTCCATCTTGAACACGGCGGTGTCGGCTCCACTCTCGGTTTGACCCTCGCACGAGACGTCGGAGCGCTCGAACGTCTGCATCTTGCCGTCGAACACCTCGCCGGCCTTGATAATGTAGGCCTCCGAGTACTGGACAGTGCCGGTGCTGGCTGGCCAAGATCCATCAGGCACGGCCGTAGCGGTTGCGGCAGCAATTAGGATGGCGGCTGACGTCGCGAACGGTGCGAATGTCTTGACCATTGTGGATTACAGCAATGGGAAGTTGTGGGTTGGCGGGGATGCTTGACCACTTGCTGCCTGAGAGTCAAAATGATGAATGACAGAGCTCCAACTAACGATTTACACTGCGTCCAGCAGAGGGCCTTGTGACCGTTTGTGCAGCCGGCGTCCGCGCAACCGGGATGCAGCAAACCGGTAGATCTGATGGTCTTAACTCGAAGATCTGGAGTCCCAGTTGTTTTCCTGCAGGCGTCCTGCTTAGTGGGGTTTGAGGGCGAGCCCACATGCTTCACCCCAATCGGCTCTTTTTGTTCACATGTCAAATCCGTGACGATGGATCATGCCAGTCAATGCAGCGCTGCTCGTTGACAAGTTGACTCGTGGCACGCCATTCCATGTCGTCGTGCGCTCACCTCGGAGTTAGATAACACAATTACAAGAAATCTGAAGGTTTCGTCTTAATAAATGCATCGAGGTACGTTTGGACAGACAAACGGCAGCGAGTACTGCAATAGAATGCAATTGACGGTGCTGTGCAGGCTGCAACAAAACCTTCAGCGTTCATATCTGCTCTTGCAGCGGCTGGAGTGTAGCAGCTGCAAGCTAAAAATGATGGAAATTACTAGCTGCTCTCACGTTCAGTCTGGTGCATGTACAGATGTATGATCGTTTCGTCGATCTCCTATGGCAACAAAAGCTGCAAAAACTGTTCCAGTCGTGCGTTGCTTCGCTTGGGTTGGTGTGTACTCAGTGCAATACTGTATTTGGTACTTCTAGAAGTGCATATACTCTCCATGATTTCAGATCCAGGATGATCGCCTTCCGATTAAACTGCCGTTTGGGTGAGAACTGTGCGCTAATCGTCATACGGATATTGCCCGCAATCGCCATAGCTTGGCAGGGTCTGTTCACGCATTTGTTATTGTATCATGTCCTATTGGATATATTACTAGTGCATTAATACGCTCACTTGATCGACTGTCCCTCGCATCTCATGTAAGTCCACTGATTCAGTAGTGAAACCCAGGTGCTTTACAGTCCAAGCAATCAGTTCTTATGAAAGATTAAAATCTACAGCATGACAACCTGCATCTTGCACCATACCAACTCGATCAAAAATGATCTGCTCGAACCTAGCACCACTTCCTAGCCTCGCTCTCTATACACACCGTCGACACTGGCGACTGCAAGTGTGTTGCGGTGGTGGTGGTCCATTCACAGCAAGGCCGTGCCGTGGATTGAGATAAACGAGCCCAACGGATCGAACGGGTCAGTGACGGCCACGAAACTCCTGGATCGTGTGGTGTTCGAGAAGAACAACTTGTTTATTAACGCGACTAACGATACAGCTGGGTCATATCTTCAAGGAAATTAAACGTGACGTACAACGACGGCAAGATCTCGAACTATTGGAGTCCAAGGCTATTGAACAATATGAACTACCAGCAGTGTGTGTACAGTGATTCAGCAATTATTCGTAGGGTTAAATGTTGCACTGCTATTATTGGATGCAAGATACTTTGTCGTTCAAATGCTTATGTTGTCGCTACGTGTCCAATGACGGCTCGTCCATTTCCATCAACTGTTTCCGGTAGTCGAACGTTAATCAAAGATTGACAGATTTTGCTTCTCGAACGCCATACGGTCACACCGTTGTCCCGTTTTTCTTGTTTTTGGTTCGTACGTGTGCAGTATGCGGGCTTTAACGTAAACGGATCGTGTCGATTTAAGAGATAATCATTGATTATCCTTGAAAGGAGGCAGACTGCCTATAAGTATTTTGCTCGCATCCGCTATTCGGACGAGGCTGCAAACTGCATTGAAAAGGAAGCTCCGATTTTTGAAAACAAGTGGAAAATACAATGGTGCTGTAAAAGCCCCAGTACTGTAACAAAAGGTCCGGTCAGAGTATAATCTACTTACTTAGTTACCTGTATAAGAGAGCTCACTAATACTTCGAGACAAGTAGCAATCCCATGCAATACGCGGGGGTAGAGTTGTTTAAGAATGCTCTCTAGTGGCCCTTGCTCGTGTTATCTAAGATAATGTTTTTCTTCGTGGAACGGAAATGAGCGCGTGATAAATTGCTACGGCGCTCCGCAAGTTGCGGCGCAGCATGTTAGCACAACCTTGACATTCTGTCAGACATGATCCATCGTCACGGATTTGACACGCGAGCGAAAAGAGCCGATTGAGTGAAGCATGTGGGCACGCCCTCAAACCCCACTGAGCAGGACGCCTGCAGGAAAACAACTGGGACTCCAGATCTTCGAGTTAAGGTCATCAGATCTACCGGTTTGTTGTCGCCAAGACGCCAACGTCACAAACGTCACAAACGGTCACAGGTCCCCGATGGTCGCGCAGTCGCCGATTAAATCGTTAGTTGGAGCTCTGTCATTCATCATTTTGACTCTCAGGCAACAAGTGGTCAAGCATCCCCGCCAACCCACAACTTCCCATTGCTGTAATCTACAATGGTCAAGACATTCGCACCGTTCGCGACGTCAGCCGCCATCCTAATTGCTGCCGCAACCGCTACGGCCGTGCCTGATGGATCTTGGCCAGCCAGCACCGGCACTGTCCAGTACTCGGAGGCCTACATTATCAAGGCCGGCGAGGTGTTCGACGGCAAGATGCAGACGTTCGAGCGCTCCGACGTCTCGTGTGAGGGTCAAACCGAGAGTGGAGCCGACACCGCCGTGTTCAAGATGGAGCCCGGTGCCACACTCAAGA